CTTTCACCCTATGTAAGTGACGTTCTGTGGAAACCCAAAACGCTTTTTCATGGGCGGGGACGCATTTTGTGACACCCCCCCGAGCGCGCACAAAGACGAGCACCCCTCAACCTACCGGATGAGCACTGACATGGAATCGCTTGCTAGCATCGATACTACATCAAGGAATCATTCGGCCGAAGGTTCAGCGCAATATCGTCCACGGTGAGCACAGGAATCGTGTTTCCCCGGTCTTCAAAAATCGCTTTTCCGCGCCCAAAATCCAAGTACCCTCCCTAGCACGGCCGTGCGCTCCTTCCACACCAGTGACAGGTGTATGCCAGCCCAGCCAGGCCATCTCTGTAGGTCCCAGGGTGCATCCGGCATCAGTCCGTTTTGGAAATGGTCATGTGTACGCGAAGATATGACCATAATTCAGACCGCGGCATGAATATTGAAAAAAGTTTGTGCGGGCGAGGCAAAAACCTAGCAAAAAACGCTCTACTCCCTGCGGTTGGTTCGCCGTAACAAAGCAAAGCAACGACACGATTCTGTCGTAGCAAAAAGTCGCGTATTCTGTAGTAGCCTACCTGTTGTATGGAACACTTGAGTTTGACAGCACCAGGTTTCTCCCCAACACCTGCCCCTGCCCCAGCACGCAGCTAGGGCACAGCCAAGGTCTCGTTCTTGTTCGCTCATCACGGACCTCGGTTCTCGGTCATAAAACTACTCCTGCTGTACTTGTATGATATGGCGTCGTTAACATCTTGTTTCAGCAACATGGACTGACGGAATATGTTATCGGACGTAAAATGGGATGGGTGCAACACGCTAGAGGTCGCAACAGCCCGTACGTGGGTGTATTATCGACGTCATCTACCATCGCAGGAGCGTAGCTCGCCACACTTACATGCTCTTGGCTCCGGATGCTACCGTACACTACACAATATAACTCCCCCCCCCCGGTGATATGATATTTTGGGCTTCAAAATACATCACCGGGTGTGGTATATTAGGTAGCCCGGCTGCTAATCGATGGTTTATCAAAACCCCCCAAAGTTATCTTCCATAGAGCGGCTCCGACAGCAAGGAGGGGCCCCGTGAATCATCGCGGTGCCCCCTATCAAACGGTTATCTTACCAGTCTGCGTGACACAAAATCATCCAGCACATGTATCCAACAGCAATGTTCGCAGACTCACGAACAACCCCACGGGTTGAGTGATGTTGGAGTGCCGGACACATAGACGCGTTGAATGAGGATGTTGTTGTTGTCTTCACATTAAAAACCGTTCCGATCTCTCTCTACCCAGTACCTTCGTATGTCCGTACTGATACAACACTCGACGCGGTCGATTCCCGTGGTCGCAGGCTAACTTACCCTAAAAAGGTACACTCAAATAAAATGGCCCCGAGGGGTTCGCAAGTCAATAGAAATCAACGACAGATATTCTGGAGTCCTACACTCCCTCTGCGCGCTATGCGAGATATAACAACTGAGACCAGAGAAGTCACCATCACGGGCCGGAGAGAATGAGGTACACCCCCCTTGGTTCAATCTTGGTACTTCACAACGCAAGCAGGGACAAGGCCATCTGGTACAGAAAAAGAGAAGAAAATAAAAGGAAACAGTAAGGAAAGAGAAAATGAAAAATAAAGAGCGAGGACAAAAAGGGACCAGGTCGAAAATAACAAGAAATAAGAGACAGTATAAGGCACAGAAATCCAGTCGCCCCGGTGGCCTAGTGGGTAGCCTCGCAGCCTGCTAAGGACCAGGTCATGGGTTC